CCGGACGTGCGGTGACTCACTGAAATGTACTCTCTGCACATGTTCTATTGCAGAAGTGGATTTTGTTTTTATTCAACGATTCCTTTCTTCATTCGTTCATTAACCGATTCATGCACCTCCTAAATGCCAAGCACTGTGATAAACAGGAATAACCCTAGCTTCCTAGAGCAATGGAAGCACCTTAGTTACAGTAGTAAAGCAACGCCAGCCCCGTCCCTGGCGCTCCATCCTCCTGACGCTGCACTCCACCTGCTTGGACCAATCGCCGCAAATCTCACACTGCAGGGCCCTGAGACTGCGGGGTGGCCCTACGGGGTGGAAGAACGTGTCTCTTCCAAGGGGGAAGTCTCGCTGGTGACTCTGAACACTGCTTTGTACCATTACTTATCCCTTCTCCCGGAGTCATCATTCCAGGTACACTCAGGCCCAAACATGGGGTGGGGAGCTCCCTGGACTCCAGAATGGGATCCTACACTCTTAAAGTCCAGAAGGAAAGGGAGCTACAGAAGGTTGGACGTGCTTCAGTGTCTTAAAATTGGGGAGCTGTCAGTTGAGAAGGGTCCCAAGTTATTTCTTGTGTGTTAAAGGGAGACAGGAAACTAGCAATTCTTTATATTTGTGTTTCATCCATTCATTATGTCATTTGACTATGGTTCACCATGACCATGATGATGTATTATTTTCATGGTATAGATGTGGAAACTGAGGCCAGGAGATTCAATGACTTGCTGAAGGTCACACAGCCAGTAAAAGGTAGTTCCAGGGCTAGACCCACGAATTTCAGGTGAACATGACCTTTGTCCTGCCCAGTGGCTCAGCAGTCCTTCACCCACTGACCTATCAGCCCAGTGTTGGTGGCCGCCCATCCTTACTCACCAGATGGGACACAATGGGCCTTGGGACCCAGGGATTCCCCTCAAGGTACTTTAGTTGAGTATTGTCAGTGGGCAAAATGCCAGTGCTCAGGGCTCCATCTTCCCCTCCCTGCCCTCCATCAAACCCCCTTCTCCCTCACCTAACATAGCGCCAACTCACCCCCAGCAAATTCAGTGTTTTTCCATTTCAGTGAGCTCGGCCTTTACTTTGATTTGGGTGCAAGCAGCTGCAGGTGCCTCAAGTTATCATGTGCTCTCTCCCCTCTCTCTCTCCCTGCAATGTCATCCATGTTTACTCGCTGCTCTGGACTTTTGATTCTGTCAGGGTGCCAATCGGCGGGGCCACCAGGCACCACAGCTGACAGTCAAATCTGTGCTACTGAATCCTTCTTCTGGAAAAAAGGGCTAAAGAGGTTAATACACTCAAGTCAGGATAAACACACCAGCTGTTAGAGTTTCTAATATTTAATATCATTATCAAATAAATAACTCAGGAAGAAATCACACACACACACACACACACACACACACACACACACACATCCCACAAAACCCCACAGCAGCCCTCTGCTTCATCCATAGTGGTTAAAGAGAATATTAATAAATTATCTTAAAAGCCTCCACAATCGAGTAATGGCCGGGATACAGTGAAGGAAATATTTGCATATGGCCTGCCGCTGCTTTTGCCCAGATACCACCACCCTCCCAGCCCTGGAGAGAGGAATTGGGGGAGCAGAAGAAGAGAGGAATATCTATCAACAGTTTTAGGCTTCCTTTTTGGTTTGAATTGGTCCGATAGGATCTCAGCTCGGGTAACCTTTGGTTTTGCTTTTGCTTTCAATGAGGGAGATTCCAGATGGATCTCCTGCTATTAAAAATATACACCACACACGTTACCTACCTACAGAACACAGGAAAAAAAAAATCGGGGGGAGGAAAATATGTATTCAGACAAACATCACATTAGTAACCAGTTTTGTGGATAATGGGTTATTTAACTGACCAGCGAATGGTGCTTTGTTGCTGTTAACTCCTCAATCTGTTGATACTTTGTGCACAGATACCAGTCAGAGGGATAAGCATCTATTTTTCTCTTGTAGCTCTAGCCTTCTGATTCCCTGAACACTGACATGAAGATTGAGCAGGACAGAATTTTAACAGTCTGTTAACTGTGTCAGGAAATTGCGAGTCCACCTTTTTTTTTTTTTTTTTTTTTTTTTTTGCCCCAGCTCCCTGGCTGGTTTTCACCTGGGCTCAAGGAACAGAAAATGATGATCATTGCATTTGGGGAAAAAAAATGAACATGGGCTAATTTTTTTTTTAAGGCACCAACAAAATGTTTCCAGGTCACAAAACACTGAGCAAAATGAGCTCCATATCTAGTTTACGTTGGATATTATAAGCAAAGCTGGTCTCAGCGACTCTGTGAAGGTTCCATGAGCATTTTTTGATAGAGCCTTCATTTCAAGGGCCATGGTTGAGCTATTTCTCTTTTCATCAAGCAAAAACCTGGCATCCTGTTTGTCTGTCCAGATGTATCTTTGTTTGGGTTTTTACACTGTTTGACTGAGATCAAGTCGTGAATTTCTACTCTCCGGATGGGCAGAGGAATGATGATTTATGAAGTCTGAGGATGCATGTCATTTAGCTCAAAAGCACAGCCAGATGAATTTGGGGGAGAGGAAAGGCCACATGGTAGGGCCACTGCAGCCAAGAGCGGGAGCAATTTCTCTTGACAAACTTTTGAAAACCAAAGCAGGAAGGTGTAGTTTTAATAATTTCTGCTATCTGGGGCTGAATGGATGACATAGATCGGAGGAAAGAATCCCAATAATTTCAGTGAGATTTTTAATAAGACTTGCATAGTAATTTTCCTGTTGATATCGTATTGTGTAAAGGCTGCTGAGACGGTTGGACTGTCCACACACGCTCTGGTTGATGCCTGGAGTGGAAGGCACGTAAATGACGCCTGTCCACATACCTCTGCCTTTGGGTCCTTGACGAACTTCCAACGGCTGAGTGCCTCATTTGCTCACTCAGGCAGCCTCTCCGTATCCGGCCAGGTCCCCGGGTTCTTCAAATGAATTTTTCAAGCATGTAGAAAAAATGTAGCCAGGTGGCAGGGATGATGGCAAAAATGATGGTTCTCCTCACATGGGAGACCAAGTGGGAGACAGGGGTGTCTCAGGGCTGGTCGGTAGTGGGCTGGGGGTGCCGACTCTCAGCATCTGGCCATTGTGTACCCTTCCCTCTCATCATGGGGCTTATTGGAGCATTGCCTGAAGTTTAGGTATTTGATTTTTTTTTTTTCTATTTCTGTTCAGATATGTCTGGATTGGAGAGGAGGCCAAAATTATTGTTCGAGTCATGAGGATGAAAGTGAGGAAGGGAGTGAAAAGGAAAATGGTGGCAGGGAGAGAGGAAGAGGGAAAGTGGGGGAGAGAAAAGGGGGAAAGGAGAAAAGGAAGGGAGGATTGAAGGAGGGAGTGAAGGAGGGTGGGATGGATGGAAAGAGGGAGAAGGATGAGGAAAACCAAGCCCAGATTTTAAACCCAGAGCTGTGCCGTCCCAGCTGGAGCTCTGTGCCTTTGCACAAGTGATGCTCTCTGCCCGTTGTCCTGTCACTCTTTGGGGCACCATAATCTCCTACTAACATTCCTAGTCTCAGGTCAAACCTACGTGCTCCTTGGCACAGAGCTAAGTACACGCTCTCCCCTCAGCTTCACTTCCTTCGTGCACAAGGCTGTCTGACTTTCTGTCTCCCAGAGCAAGAAAACATGACTTTATCAGCTTCCTGGCCCATCCTATGGACCATAAATGTTCCCATAAATGTTTGCTGAGTAAATGAATGAATGAATAAAAGAAAATGAAAGAATTGAGGAATAACTAGGGATTTATCCAAGAACTCTCTTATGATAAATTTAATTTCAATTAGATTTGCTAATAACAATAAAAAGAAAAATGTCTTGAGGATAAGTCAAACAGCAGTATTGATGGTCACTCTCAAGAGAGTTCTAACAATAGCTGTTTATAATGCCCTTTTAAAAATAGAACATACCTGTCATTAATATTAAAGTACAAAATGAACCCTATTCTATTAATAAGCTTATGTAGAAGCTGAGTGAGGTCCTTTTTAAAACAAGTATACATACAAGTGTTTAAGATAACCCAGTTTAATGAACAAGCGAACTAGATGAATGTGAAGTTTGAGAGGCCTTGACTTAAAGGCAATTTTTTTTTTCTGACCTGTGACCAAGCTGCCCCTGGGAGCTCATTGCACCTGAGATCAAGTCAGCTCAGGAAACAGGAACTAAATAACAAGGGTGCCGCCATTTCTACCAAGCTTTCACTTCCTTCCACTCTTATCACATGATTTTACTCCCAGAAGACCCTTGTAAGATGAGGAAGGAAATGACTTCCCCTCCTCTAATGGGGATACAGGAGCCCTGTGAGCGGATAAAACTTGTCCAAGGGAGGTGTGGCTGAGGATCTAAACCGTTCCCCCAATTGTGCTACTGCCAGGAAAAGGGTAACATGGATCCCGGGTCCACTCTGAGCCGGAATTGCTCTATTAGTGGGGCCTGGTCCTTGACTTTCACCTTCTAGGACATGGAAAGCTGTGTAAAGGAGGATGCTGAGCCGCTTTTCTGGTTGCCTTCAGGGTAATAAAGAAGAGAAGGGATTTGACAGAAGGACTGAAATTAGAAGAACTTCCAGTTGTTAGGATCATTTTAAAAGCTGGAATAAGACTAGTAAGAGCCTTAGTGAGTTGAACTCTGCTGCAATGCTTTCTTCCACAGAATTACACGTGTCTTAGGCTCCGTGGTGCTGATTCTCACTGAAGTCCGACTCTAGACAGGTGAAGGGCAAGCGGGCACTGTAGTCTTCACTCTGAATTCCCAGCCTCCCTCCAGTTTAAGCCCCATGCTTTATTTATGTGAATTTGTTTTTTGTGTAGACATTTTACTCTCCTTGCTGCAGAAGGCAGTTTCCCCAAACTGCCTTGAATATTCCTGGTCTGTTTATTTTATTCATATGGATCCGTTATAGGCCCATCCCTTCCTGAAAGAGTTGAAATTTGCCCTGGAGGCATCAGATGGAGTAGTCAGATTGTCAGATGTGTCTCCTAACTGAACATCGGCACAATATTTGTCGACTGAAAATAAACAGCTCCAGTGAAGTACCACGTTTACAGCTTTCATGTGCTTGTACAGGTCTTACTGAGAGTTGAAGGAAACATGCAGGGAGAGAAGCTATTTCTCTCGGAAATGAAAACTTTCGGAAGGAGGGGAATCTTTTTTAGAGTTCGAATCTAGGTCCAAGAACGGCTGACCTGGGGCAATTGCGGTGCAGTCAGCCAGCTTGATTTCTAGTGGTCCTCCCTTGCCCATCTTCTCCTTCCTATTCTGGTGCCTCCTCCTCCAACATTCAAGGATCCAGGATCAGCTTCCATCAAACCCTCTTATTGGCAAGTCTCTGCAATCAGGGTTTGAGGCCAAAAAAACAAAAGCATGGTCAAATCAGAAAGAGGCCCTATGGCCATCCATTGCTGTCTCTTTCCATTGTCTCATGAGCCCTAGAAAACTCAAAAACTCTGGTTCTACACTACTGTCCAAGCTGGCCTTGGCCTCCAGTGCCTCCTGCATGGGTCCCTCTGACAGCTTTGCAGTGAACATTCTTGGGAACAGGACTCCAACTCGGAGTCAATGCTTGCAAAGTGCAACTTTAATGCTAGAGTGTTGGTTCCAATCAAGGTCATACGGCAGAGCAAGCAAGTGAAGGCACCCAGGTCAAGCCCAGAGCTGAAAACCCTGCCTCTCCAATAAGGCTGTGGAAAATCACAGGTGGGCTGAGTGTGTCCCCTCCGGTCTTGGTGAAGTCAGGCTTGCCCCTTCCCACCACTTTCTTGCTTTCCTCAAGAGACCAATCAGAAGTAGATCATTTCCTTCCATGAAAGCTCCCTATGGGCTGGGTGCCTCTCACCCCCAGCTCTCCCTTGCCTTTCTCTGGTCCATTCTAGCAAGTTCCCAGGCCTCCCTGGGAGGCATTAGGCCACCAGCCCCTGGACACCCTCCTCCACTGCGTCCCTGTGAAGGTGTCATTCTGATGCACTGGGCTGCTAACAGGGAGCCGGTGGGTCCCAACTTCTGGAAGGAACTCTCTGCTTAGCCTTAATGGGGGAACTGGCCTGAAAGTATTAACAAGCCCTGTAAACCTTCTGTAGCCTTTGCTGTTAGTGACTGGTTTTTCTCTAATCTTCCTCAGAGAAGAGAGAATGGGGGTGGGGAGAGACCAAGACAGAACGTTCCTGCAGTGACTCTGAGAAGGCATCTCTGCTCAAATCTCAAGTCAGGATGGAAGAGAGGAATCTCATCTGTAATTCCCTTTAACTCACTCGAAAAAAGCCTTTGTGACCTCCCCACCTAGGAGGCTGGGAGCTCCTCCGAGCACATCCATTACCCTCAGTGCATTGCCAGCTCTTCTGTCTCCTAGCACTTTGTTTTGTAATGATCTGCCTAGGGGTCTGCCCGAGCCACTGACTCTTCAGGGCACAGGTGTTGCTTTCACCACTGCATTTCAAGCCTGAGTACAAGCCTGTCTTACTGTTTGTTGAATTGAAGAAACTTTTTGGAACTAAACAAGCAAATAAACCCCAGGCACCTAAGCCCAACCCATACCCTCAGCCCCCAGCCCTGACCTTTATCTGAATATGTAACCCAAGTCAGCTGCTCTAAGAAACTCAAAACCTTTCCCTAGCACCAGCTTTTAGGGACACTATGATGAATCTTATAAAGTCAAGTTGTGGTTTCTATTCTTTGTTGTAAGTCATTTGTTCTTTAGGGTTAATTTAAACCAAGTGGTGATGGGAGTGGAGCCATAATATATACATACTATGCTTTAAGCTTGACCTCTCCTTGTAGATTCATGGCTTTGTCCCCTTTAAAGGAATTCCAAGCTGAAATAGATGGATTTGGGAAAGTATTTCGGAGAAGGGAATTATTTTAAAATGCAACCCAAAATGTTAACAAGCAGCCAGACAGCAACCTGATGTATTTAATGTTAGATCAGCTCTGTAGCTAATGGAACCCAACTTCCCAACATGTCTTTTTGAGATGAAATTAAACTTGTGGAAGCCCAGCACTCGACCAAGGCTTGTTTAACATTTTATTACTTTTTTCCCTCTGAGTCTTGAAAACATGCTATTTGTGAGAACTTGGTTCCAGAAAAGGGCAAAACAAAGAAGTGGTGATGGCAAGTGTCAGGGATAAGAAATCAGTGGCTCCTCTTCTAGCGGGTGAAATTAATCACTAACTGTTAACCTGCTCATAATCCGGAACACAAACTGGGCTGCCATCACATGGCTTATAAGGACTTCCCCATGTGACATTCCTTGTGGATGGGAGGTGAGAAGGAAACAGAATTTTCCAGCATGTGCTCTTACAGAAGGGCTGAAAATGTGTCAAATTACCTTGTGAAATAAGTTCCCACATAGGAAAATCTTAGTCTTTCTCCTGTTCTTCTCGAAGGCCTTCTAATGGGCAGATCTAAAGACTTTGTCTAATTTTAGTTTCTCCTTGACATCTGCTCTATAGCACTTGATATGATGGACCGTTCTCTCATACTTAGTAAGGATTTGCATCATAATGACCCCTATACTGATTATATATCATGACCTGGACACAGTGATAGGCATTTCAAATATCCTACCTCATTTTCCTGAAACGACTGGGAGCTTTCCCTCCCTTGTCCTACTTCTGGCCCTCCCCTCTGCCTCTACTTCTCCTCCTCTCACTCTTAACTGATTCATTCACTCAGATACTGCCCTTGGGCCTCTGTTCTTCCTTCAAAGACGGCATCTCCTCCCGTGGTTTTCTCTGTCACCTCCAAGGGGATGACTTCGACATCTGTTATCTTTGATCACCACCCATGTGCCTTTCTCCAGCCTTACATTTCCCACTGCCTGCTGTATATTTCCACCTGGGTGTTCCACCAATACATCAAAATGCCCCAAAACAATTTCACTCTATTTCTCTGAAACATGGCCTCCCCTCTCAATTTCCCTATTTCTGTTGATTCTACCAGAACTCTAGTCTTCATACCTTAAGTGCTTTCTTCTTCTTCATCTCTTCTACCTCCTCGGGGACCCAGTTCCGCTGATTCTTGCTTGGTCAGAGCTCCTATTCTCCTTTCTTTTAGACTCCCATTTCCATGATTCTAATTCTGGCCTTGTCACCTGATGCCTCAGTTATTGCAATGTCCTCTTAAATTATTTCTTTACCATCTTCAGTCTTGTAATATTGCTGCCTGACTAACCTTCTTAAAACATGACTTTCTTCCAATAACACCCCGATCAAAATCCCATCACTATCTCCCCACTGGCTGATCCCTGCATAGAAAGCCTTCTAAAATCTGGACCAATCCGTGGTTCCCAGAGCACATCCATTATTCCTGAGTGCAAACTGGCCTCTTCAGTATCTTTGAAACAGAAATTGCTTTTGTTTTGTTTTGTTCCCTCTGCTGCTATCTTGTTGGAATATTCTTCCTCTCCTCTGCCTGATGCAAATCCTACCAAGCAAGCCTTGGTAGGTCAGTAGTTCAGTCTTCAAGATTTCTTTAGCTATAATACATGCATCCACTCAAGAATTATTTACTGAGCATTTGCTCTGTGCCAGCCTCTGTCCTAGGCACAGAGATCCAGAGGTGAATAACCAGCCAAGGCCCCTGGTCTCACGGAGCTTACACTGGGGAGGAGGGAGAGGGATGTAAATAGCAGATAAATAATGAGATGATTTCAGATATCAATAAATGCTACTTGATCTCAGCAACCCTCTTCTTGAAAGAAAAACAGTGAGTCTCAGAGAAGTTAAATGCCTTCCCAGAGATCACAGAGTTGGCATATGACACTGCCTGGATCATAGATCACACCTTCTGGGTTCTTTGCATTATCTATATTACTTCTTGTTTCCTTTGACCGAATGTGAAACTCCTCAAGGTTGGGTCATAATTCTCTCAAGCATGTCTTAGCACTTAGCACACTACTGGGCATGTTGCACGTGCCCAAGTGTTACTTGTGGGAAAAAAGAATTGAGCAAAGCAGAAGGCGGCAAGCCAGAGGGCAGCAGGAAGAAGGGGTGTCCCTATTAGGTCACAGACACAGAGCATTAATTTTTCTTATCCGAGCCAATGTATCTCATTAGTATCATGTGCATCTCTATATCACTCGGCCCACCAGAAAGTCTAGGGGTCAGTAAAGATGCTGTCAGGGAGTACTGGCTTTGCTTTTCTGCTAAATTTCCCCTGTGAGTAGAAAACTATATCATTTGGACGGTGAGTATGACCCAGGGGGGCCTCAGTGTCCTGGCGGCTTCCTACTCTTGACGGTGACAAGTAAGAACCAGATAGAACTCAGCAGGACTAAGACTGGGAAGAGTCAAGGCGATTTGTTCAAAACAATCTGTAACTGGGTCCTTTCACTCCCCCCTAGTCTTTTGTCCTCTATTCTTCAGGAAAAAAATAGAGAGGAGGAGAAGGAGGAAGGGAGGGAGGCAGGGAAGAAAGAGAATTCTTCCTGAGTTCCTATTTCGAGACTCACAAAGCTGAACAATAAACTCTCTCCAAGGAAAGGGGGGGGGTGTTGAAATTGCATTTGCAATAGTCTCCCTTACATCTAAATGATAATTCTCGTTCCTTCACACCAACTTTTAATGGACTCGATATCGATGATTATGGTTCATCTAACAAAACCTGTAGAGAGGAATGGCACCCCCTAACTCTGATCTCCCTTTAAATTATTTTCCATTCAGCATAAATCCTATAGTCTGCCATAAAACTTTATTGAATAGCTCATTTGAGCAGAGAACATTTTTGAAAGAATATTAGTAAACTCTTTCAATGGAGTCAAAACACCAAAATGGAAAATTCAAGTTTTGAAGAGAGCCATTAAGTGTGATTAAACCATTAAAAAGGAGAAAACAACGCCGGCAGAACTCTATTTAGCCATTTCATATCTTGAATTGTCCAAAGACTTACTTTAAAAGCACAGACATGAAAGGATACTGAATGTTATAGTATTTCAAGGGGGAGAGCGAAGATAAGCCCTGTTCACGAGCAAATGGAGCTCGGCCCAGAAGTAGGGATAATAAAAGTGGCAGGGACCTGCTTCCTTCTACAGTATATAGAGAGGGGGAAATAAAAAGCAGCAATTCTTGACTCAGCTTTGAGGAGCACAATAGGCATGATTAGGGATCCCGAGTGGGAGCAGTGACATCCACCAGTCAGCTGGTAATTAGGATGAAAACTGAGGGGAAAGAAGCTGAGAAGCAGGAGACGGAGAAATGGGAGAAACTGAGGAGAGCTGTTTGAAAGGTAGTTTTCAAAATTTAAGGAGATGAAAAATCACTTTGGAAGCTCATTTTAGCATCTACTGTCCTAAACTCCAACCTCAGAGATTTTGATTCAGGAGATATGGGATGAGACCCAGGAATCTGTGTTTCTAAAAAGCCTCCAAGGTAACGCCACTGCCGGGGGTCCTTGGACCAGTTTAGAGAATGTCTGGGGGAAGGGGAAAGATCTGGGGACAGAAATATGAATGAGAAACACCACCTGGGAGAGAGAGAGAAAGGCATTCCCAAATGATCAGCATCCAATATCTAACTTTCCTGCCTCCCTCGTCACTTTCAAATACACAAGGCAATCCTGGGAAGGAAGTCAACGATGAGAATATCAGCGAGAGAGGAATTTTTTTCTGGAAAAGTGCAGGAATGAAAGAAAGAAAAACAATCAGAGAACAAGAAGGAGAAGGAGGGGGAGGAGATGACAGACACTCCAGAATGCAAAATTCTGTGTTGAATATTCTTTTTCTTTTTTTTTTTTCGGTACGCGGGTCTCTCACTGTTGTGGCCTCTCCCGTTGTGGAGCACAGGCTCTGGACGCGCAGGCTCAGCGGCCATGGCTCACGGGCCCAGCTGCTCCGCGGCATGTGGGATCCTCCCGACCAGGGCACGAACCCGTGTCCCCTGCATCGGCAGGCGGACTCTCAACCACTGCGCCACCAGGGAAGCCCTGTGTTGAATATTCTTTAAATCTCCAGAAATGGATATGACCAAAGCAATGTGATAGTATGCTTTGATATCAATTGAAAATACTTTAAAAAATAGTCATGTCTTGTGACTAGGCATTGATAAAGTAGAATAGAAATCTATAATATTGTGGACTGTTAGATTGCTAAGTGTTTCAAGACAGTGTAAAAATCTGTGCTTTCCAGCTCTGCTCTGTGTCCTTGAAGATGGGCCTCAAGGTTGATCCCCATGAAGCGACAGCCACCAAGTTGGGAGGGGTCACCAGACACTGCCCCCTGCCACGACCAGAATATCTCTGTTTTGGGTAAGATACAATTTGAACAGAGAAGTGCTGCTAAACTGTTTTAAAGTTCTGGTTCTAAGTGTTTTAATGTTCCTGATTCTGACCATTTTCCTTCATTTCTCAGGTGAGAAAACTGAGGCTGAGAAGCAGTGTCTTTGCCCAAAGTCCCTCCATGGTTTGTGGCATTTGTACCCAAGCTTGGAACACCCGGTCCCTAGTCTGGGGAGCATTCCTCCCTAGCACCTAGCCACCTTCTTTCAATACTGGAACTTGTCAAGCAAGTGTGCTTTACAAGACTTTGTTATTATATGTGCCTGGAACATTTTATGGGTCGTGATATAATCAGTGGCATATCACATGCATGTGATAACAAGTAATGTAGTCCCAGAGGGTTCTTCTCTGTTCTTTGGAAGTAGAAGAGGCCCAGTGAAGTGAACAGGAGTGAATGGGCATCCTCAGGTCAGAAGGAAATGAGAACTACACCTGTCGATTACTTAAATGTGCAAGGCATCTGACACACGTTGCAAACTCTAGACCCTTTTACTCTCATCTCAACCCAATGAGGCAGGATAAACGACTTTCATTTAGCACTGGATATGATCACGGCCCAGTAGGGTTATAACCAAATTGCTGAATGCAGTGACAGCTCAAATCCAGGTGACGTCAGAGCCCAAGCTTGTTGTAATGTTTCTGGCTCTTCATGTCATTCTTTCGCAGGCCAGACTCACTCCCTTTGTGTGGTAACAATTCCAATATATGTGCTGCCACGGGGGATGGCGGTACATTAAAAAAAAAAGAGAAGAAAATAATGAGAAAAAATTTCAGTTAAAAAAAAAGTTGAATTCAAACCTCCAAGAAGAGTCCCTTCAGAACTGTCATGGGCTGTTCCTGCAATACTTGACTTACAAAGAATTCTGAACAGGCCCTTGGGATCAACATATCTCTACACAGAGCTCTTCATGGCTCCCACTTTGAAGCTCTTCCTTCAAGCCTGGGGGACTCTGAGTAAAGAGAGCAGGAGAGACCCAACTGTGGATAAAGTTCTAGGCTTCCTTTCCCGGCTGTGGAAGGCTGGGATCTGGGATGGGAGGGGCTAGGAAGGGGCGGCTGTAGCCATGCCTCCACACTCCCACTCCTTAACACCTTCTCTCTTCCACTTTCCTGTTATAAAGATGGTGCATAGGGGCTTCCCTGGTGGCGCAGTGGTTGAGAGTCTGCCTGCCGATGCAGGGGACACGGGTTCGTGCCCCGGTCCGGGAGGATCCCACATGCCGCAGAGCGGCTGGGCCTGTGAGCCGTGGCCGCTGAGCCTGTGTGTCCGGAGTCTGTGCTCCGCAACGGGAGAGGCCACAACAGTGAGAGGCCCCGGGACCGCCAAAAAAAAAAAAAAAAAAAAGATGGTGCATAACAGAAAGTCCAGAAAATGGAGAAAATAATACTCATGATCCTGACAACCTATCATATATCTATTTTCATATTGCTGAATTCTATTCCCATCCTCTGTCTTCATAAATATAGATTCTCCACAGTTACAGGCATCATGGTACACACTTTGTAGCTCACTTTCTCCCCACTTGCCTCAATGTCACAGACTTTGTCCAGGAGGTGTGTGGGTAGCTTCTCTTGTTTCCTCCCTAGAGCTTCTCTCCCTTCCTTTCTTTCATTTGTCCCCCTGTTCTTTCTCTGTTACTTAGCCTTTCTCTCTCCCCTCTATGCTTTTCTCATGTGACTGCTTTATTGCAATAATTGCTTTGTTGGAGTGGTCTGGAAAAAACCCCATAGTATCTCCATGTCATGCCTGTATATGTATGTGTGTGTGTGTGTGTGTATACACACACACACGTATCGAGTTGCATATCAAAATGATTTGAAAAATTTAAATAATGTTCCAAGTAATGGATTCAAATTAAAAAGAAAAATTAGGTACTAAGGACGACGTGTGTGCTTTAGGGGCATCCTTAAACTTTAAGTGTGATGTCCTTCATTCCCAAAACTTGCTGACCTCACCAGCAGAGGTCTGGAAGATCTAAGTCTGATCTAGAAGTGCATTTCTAGCCTATTTATATTTTAATATCTGGGAGGTCAAAATCAGGTGACAAGGAGTTGACTCCTTAGAATTTGAGGATGCTACCTACACAAACATTTCAATTAAATAGGTTAAAGTTCACTATGACTTGGCTATCATTTACGCCTTTACATATGGACATGTGTCCAAATCTTGCTGTAGATTTCTGGGATCCCTGGGAATGAAGACACTGCTGAGTTCTGACTGGGTCTCACCTGCTTTCTTTTCCAGGAGTACATGAATCCAATTCCGAGTGGTCCTCCATCTTAGGTCAGTCTCACGCCAGATATTTCCTAGAAGTAAACAGGGATGAAAGAAGGGGCGTGGGTAGTTATAACAATGGATCCAAATCCAGGGCAGCCAAAAGGGTGACAGCATGGCGTAAGGGTGGGATGAGAAGGGGGCGGGTTGTGCATTTCCACAGCATTAGGAACTAAAGAGTTTCTCTGTCTAGCAACAAAAGAAGTGATAATGATACTAATACTTCAGATGGTTCCAAGCAACACCTCCTGGGAAGAGTGAGGGAACTTTTTATCTTGCTGTCCTCTGAGTCCTGGATTTAGTTCAGTGGTAGTATAACATAACTTATGTAAAGATTGTTTCATTTTAAGAAAGATGTATAGAATCACAATAATAGCAACTGATACTCACCCAGTCCTTTAATATACAAACATCATTATATCACTTATCCTTGCAAAAGCAAAGAAAACGTTTTAGGTAGAATGTGAGGAAGCTGTCATTTGACAATGAAGAGTTTAGCTGAAGTTTATATTATGAAGCTCTCACCAGAGCAATTAATATAAACACTTTGCAATGGTAAGTATTTAAAGAGGAGTCAAATACGCAGATGGGAAATCTAAGAAGTGAAGGCATTGCTGAAGGGGGCAGCATGAATGAGGACGAACATTCAAAAGCTGGAGGGGGAAGACGTCGCGGTGGAGGGGGTGTGCTTTCTTGATGAGAAAACATTGCCAGCTCCAAGTACTCTAATAAAGGTAAATTGCAATTTATCTACTTCTTTGTGGTTCAATTTCCTTGGCAATTATTATATTAGAGTGACACTTCTATTGAATTATGTTTCAATTACTATTAAAAAATCGAAGTCCTTAAGTTCCAGGAAATTATGAATGCAGCTCCTGGAGAGCTCTACCTCTGACACTCCAAGGATAGTATCGTTTATCTCCTTAGCACTTGGAGGCCCATTACGCAGCGAGGGCCAGGAAGGAGGCCATCCATACAATAGTGTCCAACATTTTCAAAGCACTTCTGGTGGATTCGACCATCTCCGCGCTGTGTTGTGCTAACCCCAGGTGACCGGCCGTCTTTCTTTGCACAGGACACAATGGCAAACAGAAACATTAACTCTCGCAATGTCGCAAGAATCCGACTGCATTATTCCCTGACCTCCGCAAAGATAATGTGTTATTTGCTGTACAGAAATGAAAGTTTTCAAAGCCACTGGAAATAGAATTGTGTATGCTTCACTGGCTGAACCGCCTTTCTAGGGTTTATTTGTTTGGCCCTTTGGAGCGAAAGAATGGGAGAGTTTCAGCGAGGGGACCACGGAGGTTCCCTTCTTTTCCCCACTTTCCTCTCCTGTGAGATGGAGGGGTTTCTGAGCGCTGCATTGTTGAGGGCGGGGGGCGGGGGCGAGCGTCTCCTGGATCACAAAGCCGGGGATGGAGGAGCAGGAAGGCCCTGTGTGGTGTCTGAAGGGCCCCCAGGCAGGGCTGGGGGAAATCTCCTGGATGGGTGGATATTTACCAGAAGTCAATAGCGCAGTGGGCTTTGGTTCGATGCTAATGAGGCCAAGGTTATACAAGGGCCAACTGGTTTCCTTCTGTTCCCTCTGCTATAAACCGCCTCCCATCAGCGGCCAGACCTCCTGCAAATGCAGAAAGGGGGGTAATGAAACGGGCCGGAGGCTTCTTCCAGACAGATGGCTCCCCAGCTGTTTTTGCCGACGGGTAACTTTTGCTGCCACCACTCAACATCCCCTCGAAAAGACTCTGTCCTCCAAAGCCTTTCCCCTTCAGTTCTCCTGGGAGGCGTCTCCTGTCGACAGGGCCTCTCCTGGGGACTGTTCTCCAGTAGGTAACTTCTAAAGTGTGGGGTGTTTTTTGATTGTTGAGGTAGAGCCATCTCAGGCCCAGGTGGGTACAGAAAAGGTTGGTTGGTCCCAGCTTCCTGATCTGCCTCAGCTTGGTGGGGCTCAAAACACCATTCTGTCTCTTCAGGGTGAAACCTCCCTGTTGCATCTGTGAGTTAGTTTCCAGCCTTGAGGTATCCAGTGGCTCTTTATTTTTTGATCTGTGAAATGGGCATTTTAACCCTGGCCCTTGCCAACTTGCAGGGTTGGTGTGGGAACCAAGTGAGGAAACACAGGGGTGGTTTGGGGAGGCGTAAAGCACAAGCTAATAAGGGTTCCCGGTCACTCTTGCTTCTGCCCTGATGCCCACCGAGGTCCAAGGGGTTGCTGTCAGCCACCTTGGCTCCGGAGGCAGACGCACGGTTCTTTATTGACACTGCATCCCCCCAGACCTACTTCACGTCCTGGTTCCTCTCCTTGAGCTGGGACCTCCTTCATTTCTGGCAGTAGCCCTGGGAATGTCTTTGAGTTCCTTCTCCTTTTCTTTGGCAAACTGTTCCCCACCTCAACGCCTACTCACCCCCCCCCACCCCGCAACCCCCTGCCCGAACTCTCCCTCTTCTGAGCACATCCTGTTTCCTAATTGTATCAGTCAGTGTTCTCCAAAGAAACAGAAGGTGTATATGTATATGATTTATTTGAGAGGATTGCCTCATCCGATTATGGGGCTGGCAAGTCCCAAATCCCCAAGGCAGGCGAGCAGGCTGGCAACTCTAGCAGGAGGTGATGCTGCTGTCCTGAGATGGAATTTCTTCTTCTCTCGGAAGTCTCAGTTTGGGCCCTTAAGCCTTCAGCTGACTAGATGAAGCCCACCCACCTCACTGAGGGTAATTTACTTAAAGTCAGCTGATCGTAGATGTTAACCACATTTTAAAAGTACCTGCACAGCAACACCTGTATTGACATTTGATTAAATAACTGGATGCTGAGCTTAACCAAGATGACACAGAAAGCTGACCATCATACCAAGCTTCCATGGCTGAGTCCCTAAGCCCATCTCTTGGGCGAAGCTTCCTGAGCAGCTGCTCACTCCATGCTGTCAGGATGTGTGGGGCTTCCTCAGCGTATCTTTACTTGTGTGCCCTTCCTCCAGACACACACATCTTGGCTCTCGAGGCTCTCTCCCCACCTCACCTCCCCGCTATCCCCTGCCAGCTCACTGTGCCCTGCGGAGGTGATGTCAAGATCTCATCTCCTAGAAACAATTCATTGTCCTTTCAGCAAATTATCAGACTAAAAGCCATAATTAATATTTTATAACCTCGGCTATGGTAAATCGGTTACAGTGTAGCTCGTTTCCCTTCGGAGAGTGGAGAATTGGGGTTAGAGGTAAGCCAAATGTCACTTGTCAGGGAATTAAATCCTAACACCAAAATGCAAACTTTCAGTTTTCAATTCTCCTCGGTGCAATCTAGGTACCTGTTCAGCGTGATTTCAGAGTAAAAAAGTGAAGGGCTGACATGACTCCTTCATCCTTGCACCTTTCTGCTCAGCCTTTCCAAAAGCGAGGTTGTATACTAGGTGATGGGGGAAAAGCTCAGGAAGTCTTCCTGCGGCCCTACCCCTGAGAACTTGCATTCTAATGGTAGAACAGACAGGTAAAGAGAAAACTAGAAATGCACGGCAGACACAAATCAGTGGCGAATGAGAAACGTAAACAAAGCACTTACCTCTTCATAGGTAAGAGCATTCATACGCTTTGCACAGTGAACTCTAAAACTACAGGCACTAAAGAATCCTTGGTACTTAACTATCCCACGTATGTATTTCTTAGCCGTCTTAGCTTCTCTTTCATGCTTTGTTTGGGGAAAGAGTTACACTAGTTTGCATTTCCTCAGAGCACATTACTTGATGACTCAAGAAACCTGTCTCAAAGTTACTAGAAAAGTGTGAGCAGTGAAGAAGGAAGTTGGAATTAAATATGAATTCATTCCACAGCTACAGAATGTCTGTCCGACTGTGGCCGGACAAAGAGTGGGAGGCCCAGAGGAAACTAAGGCTTACCTTCTTGTGGGGAGGTCTAGATGACAGACATACAGAAGTGCCTCATTAAAAAGAAGCAGGGGGCTTCCCTGGTGGCGCGGTGGTTGAGAGTCCGCCTGCCGATGCAGGGGACACGGGTTCGTGCCCCGGTCCGTGAAGATCCCACATGCCGCGGAGCGGTTGGGCCCGTGAGCCATGGCTGCTGAGCCTGCGCGTCCGGAGCCTGTGATCCGCAGCGGGAGAGGCCACAGCAGTGAGAAGCCCGCGTACCGAAAAAAAAAAAAAAAGAAGCGGGGCCCAGGGTAGAAGGTTTGAGGAAAGAAGTTGGGAGGGAGGAAGAAGTTAGCTATGGGGACTTGGGAGAGTGTTCTCAATGCACCCTATTTCCTTAAAGTCTAGGGCAGGTCCTAGTAAACAATACATACTGTATAATCCCTATAAAATAAAATACATATGTATATATATTTGTGTGTGTGTGTACACAATAAAACTATTCATAAATATCAGTGTAAATATGTACAGAATTTACATAAATGTAAATTGTATACATATACATATCTACATACCTACCTGTCTCTCTATATATTTCAAATAATATATGCCCAAATATTAACATGAGTTACCATCGCTGGGCAATGAGATTACAGGTGAATTTAATTTTCTTCTCTGGTCTTCTATATTTCCCACATTTTATCCTCTCATTACACTGTGGCCCTGAGTGCCCTAAGAAGGCACAGTACCCAAGCAGCTAGAGGAAGACAATAGTCTTTGAATGGAAAGACCCAAAGGGCCCCTCAAATCTTTAATAAACGCAATGTGTAGATGACTCTTATCTCTGAACAAGTCTCCCTCACCTTCCTGCCCCAGCCCCCAGTGCTCAGAGTAAACAAAGTCACATGTCATATGACATTAGTTTTGGCTTGTCTGTGGATTCATGGTATTTTTCCTTCTTTCTCTTTCAATGTCCTGTGACTCCACCTTTCCCATACGACAGACTTATTGCTTTGCTGTCTTTTGTGGTTTAAAAACTGGATTAATGCTTAAAAATGAATCACAATCTAAGGATCATGGCTGAGTTGTCATCATGACTAGGAAGCTGGGTGAAAGTCAAAAAAGCAGGTGTAAATCAGCATGTAACCCATATGACCGTTTGGACCACAAGAACCAATCAGTTCAAGCTGACGGCTTGGTCTACCAGACTAGCAATCTCAGTCAAAAGGCTTCACCTAGTTGCCACATGGAGATGTCCAGAAAAGTTCAGCTTTTGATAAAACCAACATGCTTTCTTTTTTTCAAGGATAAAGGCATCAGTCTTACAGGGAAAGAATTGTTTTGTGTCTATGGTAACAAGGAGAAGGTTGAGGATGCGTCCTTAGTATGATGTCTTGGTGTAAGAGTGGGTATATGTCTAGTGGGTGTCTAGGAATGGGCGTGTAAGGGCTATAAGGAACAGAGCACATGCTCTTGATTCAGGAAGTTTAGAGTCAAATCAAAGCCAAACACGTAAAAAAAATTACTAATTAGTGAGAGGCGATGGAGTAAAGAGTTTTTCCAGATGTAAAGAGAAAGAAGTGTCAAGGAGGATAGTCTTTGGAGATGCATCTCTGGAAAACAGAGCAAAAGGAGGTATATAGTTTTGTCTTTCAAGGAATTGCCTAGAACTTGATCCCCAGGTAGACATTTGAGTGTAGAAGTTCACAGGCGAGCAGGTGCATTTTCAGATACGCTGGGGCAGGAAGCAGCAGCCAGTTGCCAGACTGTCCCTCTAGCCCCAGCTCTACTCCTATAACCAGACAGCACAAGGGTTGCCACAGGCCTAAGAAGTCGTATCTATAGAAGCTCTGTGCAGAGACCCAGCATCATAAAAATAGGTGGAGATCCAGTCCTTGGCACAGTCAGAGTCAAATGTCTGCAAAATTGCACAACCCAATTGTACTGGGGGATTAGTATTCTAGTATGGAGCCAGAATCTGGGCCAAGAAGGTTCCTCTATTAATAAATGGTCTATTTTGAGTTTTTAAACCCAGTTCTTTCCCGGATTCCAACCAGTACCTATGTCAAAGGCTATATAAAAAACCATAAGCTGGAAAAGAAAAGAGCCACTATTAGAGCTCGAGAGCTGGCATTCAGGGAGGGATGTTGTTCAAAGGGGCAGGAATATAGTGAAAGAGACTGAGAAAGAGAAAACAGAGAAGATGGCAATCTAATGTTCTAGGCGGTAACAGGGAGGTCGTTTGTGGCCTTTGCCAGAGGAGTTGCAATAGAGAAGATTGAAGGCAGATTATTATGGGTCAAGTAAGAGTTGGGGAATGAGAAAAAGGAAAATGTCAATGTAGGCCACTCTATCCAAAGCACTACAGAGAGAACTTGTTTCAAATGCTGGGAGGATGGAGCCATTGAAGGTGGAAATTCCAGGAATTAAAGAGGTAATTAATAGAGCAAAGTTCTAGGTGATGAGATCCAGAAGATGGGTGTGTGGCTCATCCTTGGATGAAAGGAAGAATGCTTTGAGACTGTGGAGGGAGGCACAGAAAAGCTTGTGGGATATGGATGGGAATTTTAGGGAAACCTTATCGATTACCCTTATTGTTTTGCTGTGGAATTGGAAGTAATACAGTCTGGGGAGAGGATGGTAGAAAAAACTACTAAGGACATGTGATGGAGTGGTTGATTGGTACTGAGGGGCAGCCGAGAGTGGAGACCAAACATCAACAGTGGCGCTCATCAGCATGGTTGATTTATTTCCCGTAAGTCACACTCGGTACCCTGGGTTCAACTGTGGAAGAGGGAGATGGTTTGGTTGATTCTTAGGGTGTTGACAGGCAGCTGCAGCTAAAGGACACTTTGGCAAAGGAATTGAGGATATGGGTGGGCATAAATGAAGAGATGTCCCTTCAGTATGACAGACTATTCAATGTTGAGGACTAAGAACTTCGGCTAAATGGAAAATGAACCATTTTTGCGTTGCTGTGTTTCCATTTATCATCTTGCTCTGTTTACATAGGTTACATCAGCTACTGGAAAAAGCTCTCTGGCTAGCCAAAATTTCAGAACCACCCCTTTTCCAGGAGTGCCTAATCAAGAGACTTCTAGCTAAACCAGGTATATCAGACATGATGGATGAGACTCTAGTTCAGTGGTTTAATTCAATAAAGGTTAATTTCTTGCTCATGTAAAATTCACTGGGGTTGGGTGACTCTGTAACTTCCCTTCACTCAGGGTTAGAAGTTACTTCTATCTTGGGACTCTGCCATCTCAATGCCTAGCCTCTAAGGGGGCAGAAAGGATAGACTGAGCATACTGATACTTGCACCTCAAAGCAGAAGCAATACAACACTTTGGTCACATTCCCATGAGCTCAAACTCATTCCAGACCCCAATCCAACTGCAAAGAAAGCTGGAAATGAAAGAGAGCACACATGGACATTCAGGGAGCATCAATCACAGCTGTTGAACTTTGTCAGCCACCTAGGATCCCAAGACCTTACCTTCACATAGTAAATTTCAGGGAGCATGTCTCTTTAGTGATGAGAGGAGAGAGACTCGGAAAGTGAGAAGGGAACATGGCTTGGGGCTGACTGTGTCCACACGGGCGCCCGATCAAGCAGCTGAAAAGTAAAAAGACAAGGCAAACTGTGATTCTGTAATTGGATATTGGTAGAGAAACAGAGGCAAAAAGGAGAATGGTGGGGAGGAGGAGGAGGAAAAGGAGAAAAAAAGAAAGAAAAAGCAGCAGCAGAAGAAAAAGAGTAACAAAACCACCAGGTCATTTGGTGAAACTCAAATGTGGCTGTAATAACTCTCCCTCCTAAATTTGGCCCAGCTAGTGTCTGATCACAGGAAAAGGAAACAGAAATAAAGGTAAGGCAGAATAGGAACGGGTCCAAACTTTCAGCCCTGAAGTCCACTCGGGATACAGACAGGCGAGAAAGAAGTTGGAGGAGCAAACGTTGTCAGCTAAGCCACCCCCGTTCCCAGGACTGACCGGAGTTCATGGGCCTTCTCTGGCTTCCTTTCCTGCTTGCTCTAACTCACCATTTCAAAAGCACTGGATAGGGCTTCCCTGGTGGCACAATGGTTGAGAGTCCGCCTGTCAATGCAGGGGACACGGGTTCGAGCCCTGGTCTGGGAAGATCCCACATGCCGCGGAGCAACTAGGCCCATGAGCCACAACTACTGAGCCTGCGCGTCTGGAGCTTGTGCTCCGCAGCAAGAGAGGCCGCGACAGTGAGAGGCCCGCGCACCGCGAAGACCCAACACAGCAAAAATAAATAAATAAATTACTGAACTCCTACCCCCAACATCTAAAAAAAAAAAAGCGCTGGATATTTATTGTAATTATTTGAAATGTTTTCAAGGCCAAGAGATACTAACAGGCCTTATCCAGCACCAGCACCGCTCTTGCAGGGAGTGTGTTATTTCTTTTTAATTTGCTCACTCAGTCCTGAATAACTTTTCAGAGGGCTCCAGACACTGCAGTGTGACAGCCAAACCAAGGCGGTGGATGCGATGGAATTGCTCTACAAGCAACCTTGCCAAAGGCCCTTTTCGATGCACAAAGCTGGCTCTATCTTTGTATATTGAGGGAGCTAAATCAATGTTAAATGCTTGGCTCTTTTCACAGGACAATGACCAGGACCTAAGCTGCGTCCTTCCTTTTTGATTGACACTTGAAACGCAGCGCGGGAATCAGCCAGAGGCGCTGCTACAAGCCGAACCCTCTGCTGGGATAACCACTGGTGACATCTGCAGAAAGGCCGACAAAAGGCAGTTGAAAGCTGTGTTTGTTGCTTTCCCCCCTCAGATCTCCTGGCTTTCATGGAGCTCCTTACTTGCTTTAATATTATGATTCAGCACCTGGCTTTTTTGAACCTTGCTTTAAACTTCAAAAGGCGAGGTGGTATTAACAAACATGAAACGAAAAAGTGGCGGTAGTTTGATTTACTGTTGTCGTCTTATCAAGGGTTTTTTTGTCACCAGCTGCCACTTTCTGTCATCTTTGGAACCATTATCATTTCTCTAAAATCTAAAAGACTCCACTTAATAACAGCTTTGAATACAGGCAGGATCAGTAACATACA